GAGGAGGAGGAGGAGGAGGAGGAGGAGGAGGAGGAGGGAAATCCAAGAGAGACGAGTCTGTGTTTCTTACCAGATGTCGAAAAGCGGATCGAGGCGTTCATCACGGAGTGCTTTCGGGCATGGTATACCTCGTGGCATGCAGCAGAGACGACTGGAAGCGGCGCTTGTCTTTTTATGTCTTAATAAGGAGTACAACACGACTCGTTTGGTATGTTGTCGTTGCGGAGCGTCACGGCTTCGTTCATTCTGAGAAAGGAACATCGTTCTAACGCATCTGGTGACAAAAAATTGACTACCTGAATAGGCGAAACAAGGGTCTACAGGAGGTTGTATGGGACGCCCTGCGACCGCTGAATGATATTTTCTGGGGGGAGCGGCACTATGCCGTGGAGATTAGTGCACAGAGCCACCGGGAGGCTGGCATGTCCCCCATAACGCGAAGTAGTTATGGGAAGCTCTTACTTGGTCTGGCGGTCCATCTGACATGAGAGTCATTTGCGCCAGAAGCGGGGTACACCATCGATGGACCCTCACACAACAGCAAGAACACGCACTTCATTTTGCTTTTATTTCACGGTCGCTCCCTGTGCCTAACGCACAGTCACGCCTTTCTTCCTTTCGGGAAAGCTCCGAGTCAGCTTCACACAGAAAAACAGATCTTTCCTTGTCTCCAAAACCACATATATATGTGATAAAAAAAACAACCACCCGACGACTGTTTGCCCCCAAAGTGGGTCCGTATTTTGATACAGTAACACGTCACTGGCGAACACCGGTCGATACGTAAGTTGACAAGGGAATACACAAACAACAAGTGTCGAACACGATTAATCATCATCCCCCCGCGCGGACCACCCTCCTTTGTTCGCATCATTTCTATCCCCCCGTCTTCCCTACCCATTCCTTACCCATTCCTCATTGCTGTGTACCCTCTCCCCCACCCTTAACTACCGTATGCTGTTCCCGACATGGCAGCGGGCAAGCAAAACGACCGCACGTGTGTTGTGTTTTGCCATGGGGTGCTAGTTTTATCGGCTTTCCTTGTCGCCAGCATTTTGTTTTTTGCGCCGATGAGTGAAAGAGACGAGGCCTACATCGGCATGTAACGGTTTCGAATCGTGCGTCCTGCGACTCTCGCGGCGAGCCTCGCTTAGCCAATGAAGCAAGGGTAGACACAAACAAACCCCCTCCCTTATGAAGCATTGGCATGGCAAGCCAATCGCTTCCTCCGAAGACTTTTTCTCTTAGAGCAGATACCAAGAAAAGTAACATTGTATGCGTACCCCCACACCAACGAAAGGTATCTACTTCTAACAGCGTGTGCCTCCACCCTCACAAGCAAAGAGGGTGAACACATTCGCACGACAGATTTTTTTTCTTCGTTCTTTCTAAAAACTTTCCTCCGGTTGGAAAGAACATCTACACTGACTTGGAAAACATAGCTCAGCAACTAGAGTTGTGAATCGGTACGAAAAAACGATATATTTTACATCGGCTGCGCAGCAGCCGATATAACGATATTTTCTCCGATATATCGCCTACGGCCGAGCGCAGCGAGCCGTGATGGGGGCGAGCGAAGCGAGCCCCCCCATCGGCCCCCCCCGGCTGGTGAGGGGGCCTCGCCGGAGGCGCCGCCGGAGGCAGAAAATTTGGTGCATTTTCCTTTCATTTCCCGTCAAAATGGGCCCAAATGCGGCATCAAAAAGGGCTTGACTTCAGCTGCAAACATCGCACGGAATGTAGAAAAAAAAAAAAA